GGGGGGGGGGGCGGCTCAGTCCCTCCCCCTGCCCCTCTGTACATACTGTCTGTTCATTTCCCCCTTATCTATTTAAGAAACAAGACGGAGACGAATGCCTTTAATTTTGTATGTTGGAAATGCCGAACGAGAAGCAGCCGGCTGCTCGGGAGCCTGGACCGCCCACAGCTCCTGGCCTTGCTCAATAACTCCTCCAGCACGGAACCGGCTATAAATCTCTATAAATATAGAATTGCTCTATTTTTGTGTAAATGCAGAATAATGTAAAATTACTTGCCATCAGGTATTTGCCAGGCTCAGTGTTGCTGGGAGGGGGCTGGGAAGAGGGTCTTGGGAGATGTTGGTGTCAGGATCTTCACATCAAAGGCGGTAAGGAAAGAAGAGCATTCGACAACTGCTTTAGTATTGCAGTGGTCTCCATCCTGGGGAAGGGATGGGCTGTGGTGGAGGTGGCAGCTTGAGTGTGGCATGGATTTTGTGACTGGGCTGGGGTTGCCTCCTCCTGCTGTTGCTGTTCCGGTCCGAGCAGCCTGGTTTTGCTGGCAGGCACTGTACAATGCCACTGGGAGTTGGAAGAATGATGTGTGATACCTCCCCTGGTTGTCTCTGCACCTCCAGGTCTGTCCCTCAACAGCATCCCTTTGTGTCTGACACCCCTTCCCACCACAGGTGTGGGTCTGCTGTCACACCCTGCAGCAAGGACCTGGTAGGTGATGCTGGGTATGTGATTGTATAAACATGGCAGCTTGCATCTTTAGCAGTCTCACTGCCTGGCTTGGGTGGGGACAGCACATGGACACCTTCAGCCCCTCTGGAGCTCGGTGTCCATGTGTGTGGTGGGACTTCTAGTCAAGCCCTGGGCTCAACTCTAAGCCTGGAGGTTGGCTTGCAGAAGGTCAGAGGTGTGTCTGTCATTCCTCACTTGGAATGGTTTTGCTCTTGGATGGGGGATTTTGGGTCTGTAAGATATGATTAAGGGAGAACTAGCCTCTTCTGAAAGAAAGGGGCAATAGATGATAAAAGGCAGCTGCTGAGCAGCCTGTCTGAGGGGGGGCAGCAGTGTGTAGCAGTCCCTGGGCTGCCTAGCATCCCCATATGGGACATCCACAGGTCCCAGCTGGGTAGCATGAAACTGGATGCTCAGGAGTCCTCTGCTCAGGAGTCCTCTGCTCCCCTTTTTTTTTTTTTTTTTCCAGAGCATGCTCTTGCCTGGCCTGTGTCCCTTTCATTGCGTCCTGGTGGAGGACACTGTCCCTGCAGTATGTTGTCCCCAGGACTGCCCAGGGAGTGCCCTCCCTTGCCCAGGGTGAGAATTAGTCTCCCCTAACCTGGTAGTGCTGCAACAGCTGTGTCCCAGGACAGCCTCGTGGGGCTGTACTGCAGGTCTGGGGATGCCTGGAGAGCAAGGTGGGGCAGCTGGGCTGGGGCAGGGGTTTGGTGGGAGCCAAGGAAGGGGATGTGGTGGGATGGTAGCCAGGAAAGATCCTTTGGCCCATGCTGCTGGGACTAACTTGCCCCAGCAAAAATTTCATAGACATCCCACGAAGCCTGGAGCGGGGCCCCTTAGCCTTGCTTCCTCTGATGATTTTCAGTCTTTCCAGAGCATTGGTTTTACTTTGCGTGGTTAAAAGCTTAGACATTCAATGCTCCATTGCTCTTCAGCCCCATGTGAGCTGAGACAAGCTTTGATTTTTAACAAAGAGAGCAAGAAAGGAAATGCCTCCCCCAGTGACTGCTGCTGGGGCAAGCTCATTCCCCCTTGATCTGTGATGGGGGCACATGGCAGCCCTTTATCCCCCTCACTGCAGACACTCCCTGAGGCATGTCAGCTTTGCCATAATCAAGGGCTGGCACTGGCTAATTCTAGGTACAGCCATAGGTAAGAGGGACCAAAGCCCTGCAGAACTAGTGAGGCTTCTCAGGGCTTAAGCAGCCACGACAGCTCTCAAGATGAAATACTGGCCTCCTCTCCCCTGTAAATAAAGACAAAACAAATGGATGCTGGTGTTTCTTGTCTCCTGTTTGGTGCTGCATGTTGCTGGCTGTGGTCCCAGTGTGGAAGCAGACTTGGCCAACATTGTCTTAGTTCTGCAAGTCAAAGCCAGACCTGGAGCAAAGCTCCTGGCACGGACTGCTTTGGTGAAGAAGGAGGTGCTGAAGGCAGTGGCTCTGGCTTTTGGCTGGCCAGCCAGCTCTCAGCAAGTCCTGGTGCACACATGGCTTGGGGTGCTTTTGTGAAACATCTCTCTGCTCTCAGGACAGCAGAGAGATAGACAAGTTCAGCCCTTCCCAGTAAGTCTCTTGAACAGGTGACAGTCGAGTGAATTTCATCAAAAGACCTTACAGGCAGGGTGGCACTAGCACTAGTGGGGTATCAGGCAAGGGTGAGACTGCTTTTAGCAAAGGGGTAAATCACTTTATGTCAGCATGGATTCACAAAGGGGAAGTCATGCTTAAACAATCTGATAACCCTCTATGATGAAATGACTGGCCTGGTAGATGAGGGAAGAGCAATGCATGTTGTCTACCTTGACTTCTGTCTGGCTTTGATATGGTCTCCCATAAGATCCTTACAGCGAAGCTGTTGGTGTATGGGCTGGATAAGCAGACTGGCTGAATGGCTGGGCCCAAGAGTGTGGTGATCAGTGGTATGAAATGTGGTTGAAGACCAGTAACTACTGATGTAGCCCGGGGGTCAATACTAGGTCCAATCCTGTTCAACATCTTCATTAAAGAGCTGGATAATGGGGCAGAGTGTACCCTCAGCGAGTCCACTGATGACACAAAACTGGAAGGAGTAGCTGGCAGACTGGCTGAATGGCTGGGCCCAAGAGTGTGGTGATCAGTGGTATGAAATGTGGTTGAAGACCAGTAACTACTGATGTAGCCCGGGGGTCAATACTAGGTCCAATCCTGTTCAACATCTTCATTAAAGAGCTGGATAATGGGGCAGAGTGTACCCTCAGCGAGTCCACTGATGACACAAAACTGGAAGGAGTAGCTGGTACACCAGAGGGTTGTGCTGCCGTCCAGAGGGATCTTGACAGGCTGGAGAAATGGGCTGACAGAAACCTTTTGACATTCAACAAAGGGAAGTGCAAAGTCCTGCGCTTGGGGAAGAACAATCCCATGCACCAGCACATGCTGGGGGCCGCCCATCTGGAAAGCAGCTTTGCAGGAAAGGCCTTGAGGGTCCTGGTTAACCATGAGCCAGCAATGTGCACCTACAGCAAAGAGGGCTAATGGTATCCTGGGCTACATTAGGGGTAGTGTTGCCAGCAGGTTGAGGGAGGTGATCCTTCCCTTCTGCTCAGGTGAGGCCACACCTGAGTACTGTGTCCAGTTCTGGGCTCCCCAGTACGAGAGAGAGATGGAGCTACTGGTGACTCCAGCGAAGGGTCATGAAGATGATGAAGGGACTGGAGCATCTCTCCTATGAGGAAAGGCTGAGAGAGCTGGGGCTCTTCAGACTGAAGAAGAGAAGGCTGAGGGGGAATCTTACTAATGTATAATGGCACTGGTGAGGCCACACCTCGAATACTGTGTTCAGTTTTGGGCCCCTCACTACAAGAAGGACGTTGAGGTGCTGGAGCGTGTCCAGAGAAGGGCAACGAGGCTGGTGAGGGGTCTGGAGAACAAGTCTTATGAGGAGCGGCTGAGGGAACTGGGACTGTTTAGCCTGGAGAAAAGGAGGCTGAGGGGAGACCTCATCGCTCTCTACAACTACCTGAAAGGAGGTTGTAGCGAGGTGGGTGTCAGTCTCTTCTCCCAAGTAACTAGCGATAGGATTTTCAACCTCAATGATTCTATGATTCTATATAAATACCGGAAGGGAGGGTGAAAAGAGGACAGAGCCAGTGACAGGACATGAGGCAATGGGCACGAACTGGAACACAGGAGGTTCCCTCTGAACACCAGGAAACACTTTTTTGCTGTGAGGGTATCGCAGAGGCTCACAAAATCAAATTAGGCAGGTGACAGATTCAAAAATAAATTTTATTTAAACCAAAATTGTTTAGCAGAAAACTAACTAGAAATGAGGCGCCAACACTCCGACATCAGTAAACCACAGGTTCAGGATGGTGTGATGAGAAGTTAATATTGCACAGCCGGCTTCAGAAATGAGGATCCAAAATGTGCACAACCACTCACCTGTAAGATGAGGGCTCTCAACCTCGAGGAGTTTCCTTGGGCGGCATCCTGACTCAAGGGGAGAGTCCCCAGCTGCAGATCTGCTGCTCCGGGGAGGACCGACTCCACTTGCCCCCCGGTGGGGCTCTGTTTATATCCTAGTCGAATCTGATCTGTGGTCAATTCTGATTGGCTGAGGACCTTAACTTTCTTACTCCTTGCCTGAGGTATATACCTGACTGTAATTACTGGCCCAAAGTGTGTACGTGATGGTCAGCACTTGCCACCCATAAAGGCGCGAAAAGTAAGGACGTCAACATTCCTAATGCCCCCGGGCTTTATCAGCGTGGATGCACCTGCCACAGAGGGTAACTGAGCACTGGCACAGATTGCCCAGAGATGCTGTGGAGTCTCCATCCTTGGAGATACTCAGAAGCCATCTGGACAAGGTCCTGGGCAACTGGTCCTAGGCATCCCTGCCTGAGCAGGGGGGGTTGGACAAAATGACCTCCAGAGGTGCCTTCCTCAGCCATTCCGTGAATTTTAAAGTATTTTCAGTATTGAGAAATATTGAGAATTGCAATATTGAGAAATGCAAAGGCTTTCCTGCTGTTGGCTTCCTTAGTCACAAGCACGACCCTTCTGTGCCCACACTGGGCTCCT